CTATTATCTGTCCCCAAATAGTTAGTGTCCCTATGGAATGTCAATCATCTAATCCTAAGTCAAACATCGGAAATGTGTCTCTTGTTCCCACTGGTGGTGCCAAGTGTCTCCTTGGGCCTTTCCCGAGCCTGGTATCTCAATGTTCAAGGCTGGGATTATCGCAGAGGAGCCTCTGCCTTCTGTCACAGGTGCTAACAACCTGGGGAGGAGTCTCACTGGACAGAATCACACCACCTAACTCTAAGCCTAGATAGGATAGCTCCTTCCTTCTCACTAGGTTGCAAGGTTGCTTGCCAATGATCCTTTGAAAATCAAATAATGCCCCCATATTGACGTTTAAACATTCATAGTTTTTGTTATTCAAATGAAGCTGCACACTGTTTTTAAGCTCCTTACAGGAAAATTTATACATATTTAATAGGCACTCAGAACCCTGGCTATGCTGTACAGTGGCACCGAATGCCTGCACTATACAGACAGAAACTGGCATTGGACCCTGCCTGACTTTATTTCTGGAGGAAAATGAGTTAAAATTTTAACAAATGACAAGGCTGGGATGTGGGAGGGCAGCCAGTGGCCTCCCTTGTCTTTCTGTGGCAGTATTTGCTTTTGTTTAAGTGTAGATAAACAGCCCATCACATGGCAAAAGCTATCAGAAGGCTAAAGTACCTGAGAGGTTGTCAGCTCCTACTGTAATGATATGTTTTAAATTCACTCCATGGACCTCCACTAAGCCCATAATTTTGCCCTGAATGCCTTTTCTACTCTTTCTGCAGATTTATGTGTCACTGTTGTTTTATGTTGCAAACTCAGTTTCTCTTTACCTCTCTTCACGTTGTGATAAATGACTTACTTTTAGGACCTCAAAGACAATAACTACGCTTGCATTGAAAGGGCATCTTAAATAGCTGTTTTGAACATTGGAGCCTGAATTTTGCCAATTTTCTTCCTGACACCACAACTGGGTTGGGGCATTAACAAAGCAACAGAACCTGCCTTGGGGATGTGATTAAATTCCTAATGACAAAGTTCAAACAGAGCAGATCTAACAAGAAGCTACAGTGTATAGTGGCCACTTACAGAGCCATGAGTGACAGGAGACAAGGAGAGGGCTAGAGGCTCCAACTGGGCGGTGCCGAGAAAGCCTTCCCTGCAGAGCTCCTCTGTGTTTATTATGTCGAGGAAATGACTGTAGCTGGTGATGACTGTAGGCAATAGGAAGTCACTTCCTATTAATTCTTAAATCCTGTTCCTACTTGTACTATTGCAATTAATGGAGACTCTATGGAAGGAGGGAGCAGGGATAGCTTTGAGTGGAGCGAGGGACAGAGGAGACTAGGTGAGTTGAAACTAAGGGACGTAGGCTGAGGAACACCAGATCATCGCCTGTCTCTTCAGAAGGGGAAGCGAGGGCAATAGAGCAGACTTTTGTGAAGTGCTTGCTACGTGGTGGGCACTGACCTAGGTCCCTTACCTGCGTATTTCAGGGAATCTTCCCCACAACTCGATGAGGTAGCAATGATTATGATCTCTTGGGGCCAATTAATTGCTGTCACTTTGCCTAGAGAGTGTTGGTATCATGCATAGAAAGTGACAATGCATATAGATTTATATTACATATAAATTGATAACAACTGATACCACATGTATGTAGATTGCATACAGAAATTACATTAGGCTCAAACTGGGCCATTTGTAAAGATGGCAGCCCTATCAGAAAAATTATCTTCCCCAAGGTTCACTGTTTAGGAAGTAATTTTGTGCATCTGGGAATAGGAGTTGGGAACAAAAGAAATAATATGCTCATAGGAGAAAAAAAAAACCTGCAGAGAGGTTCTGATACCTGCTCAAAATGGGATCTGAAATGGAGACTGAGTGGACCTCTAGGAAGCAACAGATAGGGCTCATGTTAAGAGGAGGGAGAAGAGCCATCGTGTGCCACAAGCACTGAGGTACAGGAGACCCCAGATCTGCAAGCACCTTCTTTTGATTAGCTAGTAGTCTTTCCACATAGCAGAGGCTTGCAAATATTAGGTGCTGCGCTTAGTGTTAGCTTCCTGCTTTATTTGGTAAAATGAAAATGCTTTCTCAGTGAACTTCACCTTCCTCTGAAATTATTTTATGAGATCAATTTTTTTTTTTTTTTGACAGGCAGAGTGGACAGTGAGAAAGAGAGAGACAGAGAGAAAGGTCCTCCTTTGCTGTTGGTTTACCCTCCAATGGCAGCCGCGGCCGGCACACTGCGCTGATCCGATGGCAGGAGCCAGGTACTTATCCTGGTCTCCCATGGAGTGCAGGGCCCAAGTACTTGGGCCATCCTCCACTGCATTCCCTGGCCACAGCAGAGAGCTGGCCTGGAAGAGGGGCAACCGGGACAGAATCCGGTGCCCCAACCAGTACTAGAACCCGGTGTGCTGGCGCCGCAAGGCGGAGGATTAGCCTAGTGAGCCATGGCACCGGCCTGAGATCAATTCTTAAAAATTAGTTTTGCAGTGACTTGATCAGCTCTTGTCCTGACGGTTGATGTACAATGTAATACTTTATCCATTTTAGTATTTTCTTTTTTTCTAGTACCATTGGTTGAACTCTGTAATTAACACACAATTATTCTTAGGTGTTTAAATTTTAACTGAAAAGTGATCCCTGTTAGGAATTTGGAAAACATTATGCTGAGTGAAATAAGCCAATCCCAAAGGGACAAATACCACTTGTTCTCCCTGATAGGTGACAACTAATTGAGCACCAAAAAGGAAACCTGTTAAAGTGAAATGAACACCATGAGAAATGGTGCCTTGATCAGCCCTTACCCTGACTGTTATTGAGCAACTTAATATGTTATCCCTCTTAGTATTTTTTTTTGTTTGTTCTACTTAATACTTTTGATTGAATAATGTAATCAATACACAGTTATTCTTAAGTGCTAAAACTTAACTGAAAAGTGATTGCTGTTAAATATAAGAGTGGGAAGAAGAGGGGGAAGAGATGTGCAGTTCAGGACATGCTCAAGCTGACTTACCTCAAACGGTAGAGTTAGAAACATACCAGGGGATTCCAATTCAATCCCATCAAGGTGGCATGTACCAATGCCATCTCACTAGTCCCGGTGATCAATTTCTGTTCACAATTGATCATAATGATAGGACTAAGAGCCAAAGGGATCACATAAACAAGAATAGTGTCTACAAATACTAGCTGATAGAATCAAAAAGGGAGAGAATGATCCAACATGGGAAGTGAGATACACAGCAGACCCATAGAATTGCAGATGTCCTAAACAGCACTCTGGTCTCAGAATCAGCCCTTAAGTCATGTGGATCCGGCTGAAAAGCCCATGAGAGTATTTCAGGCATGGAAAGCCAAAACGCTCTGGGGGAAAAAAAAAATAAACCCAAATGAAAGATCTCTGTGAGTAAGATCCCAGTGAAAAGAACAGGTCATCAAAGAAGGAGGCACCTTTCTCTGAAGGGAAGAGAGAACTTCCACTTTGACCATGTCTTTGTCTAAATATGATCAGAGTCGGTGAACTCAGGGGGCTTCCATAGCCTTGGCAGCTCATGACAAGAGCCTAGGGTGATTACTGATGCCATAAACAAGAGTGTCAATTTGTTAAGTCAACAACAGGAGTCACTGTGCACTTACTCCTCATGTAGGATCTTTGTCCTTAGTGTGCTGTACATTGAGATTTAATGCTATAACTAGTACTCAAACAGTATTTTTCACTTTGTGTTTCTGTGTGGGAGCAAACTGTTGAAATCTTTACTTAATGTATGCTAAACTGATCTTCTGTATATAAAGAGAAACGAAAATGAATCTTGATGTGAATGGAAGGGGAGAGGGAGTGGGAAAGGGGAGGGTTGTGGGTGGGAGGGACGTTATGGGGGGGAAGCCATTGTAATCCATAAGCTGTACTTTGGAAATTTATATATACTAAATAAAAGTTAAAAAAAAAAGAATTAGTTTTGGGGGCCGGAGCTGTGACTCAGTAGATTAATCCTCCACCTGAAGCACCAGCATCCCATATGGGCACCGGTTCTAGTCCCAGATGCTCCTTTTTCAATCCAGCTCTCTACTGTGGCCTGGGAAAGCAGTAGAAGATGGCCCAAGTGCTTGGGCCCCTGCACCCACATGGGAGACCAGGAGGAAGCACCTGGCTCCTGATTTCGAATTGGCATAGCTCCAGCCGTGGCGGCCATTTGGGGGGTGAACAAATGGATGGAAGACCTTTCTCTCTGTCTGTCTCTCTGTCTGTAACTCTACCTCTCAAATAAATAAATAAAATCTTCAAAAAAAAAAAAAGAATTAGTTTTGTGTGTTGTCATATAGCAGGTTAAGTCACCTCTTGTGTTGCTGGCGTTCTATGTTAGAATGCAAGTTCCAGTCCTGGTTACTCTTTTTTCCAATCCAGCTTCCTGCTAATACACCTGGGAAGGCAGTGGAATATGATCCAAGTACTTGGGCTCCTGTCACCTTTGTGGGGGACCAGGATAGAGTTCCTGGTTCCTAGTCTTGGCCTGGCACAACTCTGGCTGTTGTGGCCATTTGTGAAGTGACCTAGTGGATGGAAGATTCTCTCTCTCTCTCTCTTCCCCCTTTCTCTCTCTTTCGATGTGTGTGTGTGTGTGTGTTTGTGTGTTGTGTGTGTGTATGTATGTTCCTCTGCCTTTCAAATAAATAAACAAATAAAAAGAATTATTTTTGCTAAAGGGAAGGGAAGAGAGATCCTGGGTACACAAGGTACCTGGGAGTAGAAGAAGCAAATAACTAAGAGAAGGTGAAGAATATGGGGAGACAGAGTGGGCCACCTAAGAGAAGCCACACACAATTTTCCCAGTATCATCTGGGGGAGGGTCTCAGGTAAAGAGGTGCCAGAAGCCTGCAGAAAGCTGCAGACTTGACCTTGTACACATACTCCCTCCAGGGGCACCTGGACATGCCCCTGTTTATGTCATAGCAAACACATGTGCTCTCACTCAGCTAAATGTGCCCCAGGCAGTGCCCTACATTCCTTTAGTGGGAGAGTTAAACACGATGCTTCCTGTGAGTGGCCATTTTGGGGTGGAGGTAGGTGCAATTTTTTTTCAACCTCTCACTGCCTGTTGAGTAGCATGGGAAGGTGTGGGATGTGTGAAGGCACAACTATTTGAACCTCAAGGTCCTCAGAAACCTCTATCTTTAGCAAAACTGGAGACCTCTGCCATCTTCCACTATCCTCTTTCAGCAGTCAGTCATCCTAAACTTTTTAGTCCCACATTGCCTCAACAACCAAATAGCAGAGACAATGACCTTAGCCTGCTAGCCAATGCCTGTAGTCTAAAGGCACTAATTCTGCCTTCATCTTCCTAGCTTCAGTGTCTGGTACAGTGAAAGTACTTGAAAAAGCTTGCTGAAACATTAGGTGATTTTCCTATTCACAGAAAATCTGAGCCCTGTACCTACCATTGCCTAGATATAGTCTGCAATTGGAAGGTAGAAACAAGAAGTCAGATATGTGTTCTGCCCTCCAGGGTTTGCTAACAGAGCGTATATTCATGGGACAAATTAGTGGCTATAGACATGGAGTGCTTAAATTTAAAATTAATCATCTGCATATTATCTGTGCTTCTCATCCCTAGGTGAGCATTAGGATCACTGCTGTTGCTTTATTAAGTCATAGATGCCCAGAGCTCACCCACAGAGACTCTGATTAGGTCTGTCTGATCAGGGTCTGTATTTTTAAAATAGCCCCAACTGAGCCAGCATTCAGGGTATGAATCATTGGAACAAGTGCTAGAGAAAATAACTTTAAAAGATACCAGAAAGAATCATAATGGGGGGAGAAATCTTATGGCACAATTGGAACTTACTTTGAACCCTGAATCACAAAGAGGATTTGGATGGATGGACTGTGATGGAGAGAGGAGAGCCTTCTGGCTGGTAGGGAAATGTGGGCCCATTGCGAACAAAGAGAGGAGAGCTTCCCAGCTGGAAAAGGAGTAGTGGAGTTTGCAAAAAAAGAAAAAAGTTGGAAATTGAGAGGAGTGGATTAGATATTTTGCTCAAAAAATAGAAATTTTCCATTAGGAGGAACAAATAAATACAAGATATCTTTTGCACACCATGGTGACTATAGTTGATAACAATTTATCATGCACTTGAAAATTACTCAGAGTAAATGGAAACTATATGAGGTAATGAATATGTTAATAGTTTGATTTAACCATTCCACAATGTGTATATATAATCTCAAAGCATCATATTGTAAACCAGATGTGTAAAGTTTTTGTCAATTAAAAAGAAACTGATTTTTTAAAAGTTTATAAAGAGAGGGAGTTGCAAAGCAGAGTGAAGCATACCTGCTGAGTAGCAAACACTCTTGAGAGAAAGGGTGTGGAGGTTCACATGCGAGGAATGTGGCAGTCCTATCTGGAATGAAGCCGCTTTGTGCCTGATGGCTGAATGGACAGCCTCAGTGACCAGTGGGAAAGGATCTTTGACCACCAGCCTGGGAAGTAGTGGGTCTTCGTTTGTGCCCACAAAACAGCTATGGGTGGCTGCAAAAGTGGTGTTGAAGAAAGGTTGAAGTAGCAAGGAAATGTACCCATTTTCAATCCAAGACACAATTATTAAGATGCCATCTTTTAAAAGGAGCCTGGGGTCTGAGGTTCTTAGAACTTCTTGAAGTTCTTGAGAGCTTCACTTCTATTTCCTTGGCTTTCCCTGATTCCAAGATTGTCAGGTTTCCTTTCCTCGGTGGCAAACTATTTTGCCCTTCTGCCTCCTTTTCCAGTGGATGAAAAACAAGATGGGTGAGGATCAGTGGTCACTGGAGGTTGAGGGGAGATTCAAAAAGATAACTGAGGGGCATTGCTATGGTGTGGAGAGTTAAACCACCATCTGGAGTGCCAGCATCCCGTGTGGCCACCGATTCAAGTCCCTGCTGTTCCACTTCCAATCCATCTCCCTGCTAATTCACCTGGGAAAGCAGCGGAAGATGGCCCAAGTGCCTGGGTCCCTGCCACCCACATGGGATACCCAGAAGAAGTTCCTGGCTCCTGGCTTTGGCCTGGCTCACCCCTGCTGTTCGGCCATTTCAGGAGTGAACCAGAGGATAGAAGACTTCTGTGTGTGTGTGTGTGTGTGTGTGTGTCTCCCTATCTCTCCTCTCTCTCAGTAACTCTGCCTTTCAAACAAATAAACTCTTACAAGCAGATAACTGAAAATATCTTAAATGAAAAGTGCTCCAAGGGGAAGGTCAGGCATTGGGTATACCTGATTCCCACTTTTAAAGTACAAAATGAGAAACAGGTAATAATTGATACCAGCCCAAATGGTCAAGTGAGACTGTTGATGGCTCACACCAAATTTAGTTTACTCACTTATGACACACGTTAAGATCAGTTTCATTGCATGAAGTACTTTCCGCAGCAGGTGTAGGGACAGGAGGTGTGGGGTCAGAAGATTATGGAAAAAGCAACTCACCAGAGTAAATAAAAATGCACTGATACTTTCTCATTTCTTCCATCAGTAGCCTATCTATTTCTCTACCAAACTGAGGGCAAACAGAAAATAAATCAAAGGATAAAAACATAGAACTTAAATTGGAAGATACTCCCAAGTCCCAGGGTTGTGAGACGCACATTTGCATACTGTGTGCTTTACAATGAGCTATTATTAGCATGGTAGAAATAGCAGCAAATGAGGACTACAGATTTTGCCCAGAGGCAGAGCAGACAAAAGTAACAGCAGTTGCCCAGGAAAGCAAGATGATTCCAGTTTAACTCATCCAAGAAAACTCTTCTAAGAATGAGACCAAAATCTGGAACTGAGTCTTGGAGGGAGCTTGAGGCTGTGCCATCACAGTGATGCCGGCTGCTGCCGAGGGTGTCATGACAGGGTGTCATGACATGTCTGAAGGCCCTGGAGAGGCACACTTAGATAATAGTCCGGGTCTCTAGGTCAGATTCAGTGCTCTGCAGGCTGTCCTGGTAAGTCACAGAGGTTCAACCTGTCTTATGCTCTCGCTCTGTAGGTCTGAGATGTCTACAGCCAGATGCCCTAACACTCCCAACTTCCAGCTGAGGCCGGAGTCCCCAGACCTGTGTGGGCTTGAGACAGGAAATACTGAAATAGGTTCAGTACTTCCCCACTCTCCTCCCTTCCAGAAGTGGCACCTCAGTATTGAATCATTCTCTGGATTAGGCTGAACCAGCTGAGCATTGGCTCCCTAGTACCTGAGTCACTCTCACTTTTTATTAGCCCTAGTGTACCCTAATGGACTTCCTCCTTCCCCAGATTGCCAGTCTCTGAGCTCATAATAGCCACAGTATAATTACAGAATTCCCATAGACAAGCTTCTTCAAGGAAGTCTTCCATTTCGCTTTCACCGAATGTGGCCAGTCAGATACCCATGTTGGAGGCTGAGGCGAACAGATCACCTCTGCTGGCCACACCCGTCCATCCTCCACCCTGCACAAGTCACAATTACCACATGGTTCACTGGAGGCAGGGTAGTCAGGGGACTACTGGTGGTAATTGACTCAGCTAAATGCAGGCACAGAACAGCAATTTCCACACAAGTCTGATAAGCTAGTGCTTTTCTCTACTCACAAATCCTTTTTTTGTTAGAGAGCTTTCTCCAGCATTCAGACAGCATCTAATGCTCCATCCTGCAACGAGAGGGACCTGGCATATGCCAAAGTTTTTGAGGAAAAGATGGTGGTGATGTTCTGGGGTAAAGAGGGTGGTGACATGGGTCATGGGGAGCTTTTATAGATGAATGGCGGAGAACTTCGTAAAAGACACATGCTCCAGTCACCCCTTCCTTGCATCCAAACCCCAGAGACTATGCAAGCGTCAGCTTCAGCAAAGGACAATTTCCCAGTGCATTTCCTCAGTTCATGGCTAACCTTCTGGAAGTAAGCATCCAGGTAGGCTGAGTTCACAGGGCAGGAGCACAGCAAGAATGTCACGCAGCCCCAAGGACAGTTACTTTTAGGGCCATTGTTTTGATTCTTGGTGAAATGGGAACTCATTAAAAGTTACACAGATGTGTGGAAGTCTGACTTTGTTTTCACCCTGCCTGAACTGATGTACTGTAACATCCAAAGCTTGCCCAAGACCTCTGATTCCTAGCTCTTAGAACCTGACCACAAGGGGTAGTCTCTTTCAGCTTCATGCAGTGGAGTACTTTCACTTGCTTCCTCCACCCTATGGTTTAATTCCAGAAATGTATCTATAACTCTTCAGTGCTCTGTCTCCTCCTGTGGTTCTCAAGGGGTAGCCCCTGGACCACTACCTAAAACTGGCTGGAAATGCAAAATCTAAGACCTGCTGAATCAGAAACATTGAGGGCAGAATTCAGAAATCTGTTTATTAAGCTCGCCAGGGGGATTCTGATGGGAGCCCAGTTTGAAAACCACTGTTCTAGGTCAACTGATTCTTTTGATCAACTCCTACCACTGATAATCTGTGCCAGAGGCCAAAGCATGTTCCATTTTTGTTAATTATTTAATCAATACCCAGGTACTATTCAAGTCATTTATGGAGGCCACTCAGTTAGAACCCATGGCTAAAACAGTTTTCTGGAAATGTATTTGTCACAAGCTCTCACAGCTCTATTCACCATCTTCATATGCTGTGGATTCTATAAAGTGATTTGGTATCCTTGGCATTGTTTTCTTTCTGGAATAGCTCTGTACTGTTTTTTTCTATAATAAGACCCATTGAGAGGGGCATCATAATGGTTTGTTAAGATCTATTCTATTCGCACTAATAAAACCCCCAATCTCCCCCCAAATTAGTATGGTGTGAAAGAGAGTCATCAACCTTCCTGAAAGGTTTCTTTGTTCCCCTTATGTGCTACCCAGAGCTCACTGATTTATACGTGACCTCAGTTCTATTAGCTCTGGGTGTGTTGTCTTACAAGTGGAATTAGATGAATGAAAGGTTTATTCCCTTTAGGATCTGTCTTAAATGAGTTCCCTCCCATGTGAGAGAACCCCGGTAACTTGAACGTGTCTCCAAGTAAGAGATGTAAGTAAAAACCAGGCAGAGAGCAGAAAACTGTGCCTGGCCTCAAGATT